GCCTCGAACGGGAGCCAATGCCGCTGGATTCACCGAGAGAAGAAGCTTAATAGGGTCATCAAACCTTGCACTGCTGGTCGCGCCTGCCAATCCGAGAATGACCGCATTCCATGACAAAACCATGACCAATGGTACAGCACCCCCAATGAGAATTGCCCTGCGTGCATCATACACCGAGTCACCTACAATCTTGCAGATGAATGGCGTGATCACGTGGAACCCAAGCGTGAGCACGGTGACCGGAATGGCCGGCAAGATGGCACCAGGGCTCCAGCACGCGTGGCCAAGCGAATTCAGCATGCTGCTCCGGCCGACGGAGACGCCTGTCACCACAAGCGACGTGATCGAGACGAGCATCAGGCCGCAGAGCACGCGGTTGACGCCGTCGACGGCCTTGAACGGGAAGAAGGCGATGAGCACCCCGGCGAAGCACGGGAAGAGCGCGTTCGCCAGGGCCGGATTCAGCGCGGGGAAGAGCTGGGAGACCAGCGAGCCGATGCCGGCTACGCAGGCGACCATCAGGGAGAAGCTCAGCGCAGCGTAGACGACGGCGACGACGCCGCCGAAGGTTGCCCCCAAGGTGCTCGACGCAAGTCCCGTGAAGCTGACCTCGTCCACGCCCCCGCTCTCCATGGCCGCGAAGCTGAGCTCGGCGACGAGGACGATGGAGGACACGACGTAGGCCCAGGAGAGCAGGATGGCCACGGTGGAGGGGGCCGGGCCGGAGCGGATGGTGGCCGACGGCAGCGCCAGCATGCCCGGCCCGACCGCCGTGCCGATGATGAGGCTCACCGCCGCCCAGAAGCTCTTCTTCTCGCCGCCGCCGGAGACACTGGCCTCTACGAGGGGTGGCGGCGGTTGGGCGGCATCGGTGCTGCTGCACCGCCACCGCCATTGCCGCCTTGGCAGTGGCCATGGCCGTGGTGGGGGGTTCTTGGATGCGAGGACTGGGGCTCTGGGCGTTCTTGGCCTGAGAGGGCGGTGTCCACTGGGAGAGGGGACGGCGGTGAGCGGTGAGAAGGTGAGGTGGCGGCGGCAGAGGAACATGGCTGCTGTAATTTGGCAGGTCAAAGGTAGGTTTTTTCCGCAATGGCAAGGTGAAACACTGCGGCTTGGAGTTCTCCTTTGACTGCTGATGAAGACACTCAGAGAGGGATTGGGGAGGCAGGTGATTTTTATTTTTTATTTGGCGCTGGGACGCGTCGGTCGGATCTGATTGACTGAGCCGTGGAGCGTCACCTTCTATTGTTGGCCCTGTGTTGCAAAAAAAAAAAAAAATCTGCAACATAAGTCATGTTGCAGAAAATTTTACAACATAGGTTAAGTTATATAGATTTTTTTTTTCACATAGGTCTTGTTATTTTTTTTTACAACTAAAGGTTTTATATAGTTTTTTTTGCAACAGAGGTCTTGTTGCAGTTTTTTTGACAATAGAGATCTCGTTGTAATTTTTTATTTTTATTTTTTAACAAAGGTCTTGTTACATCTCTTTTTGCAACAAAGACATTGATACAAATACTCACTATAGCACCGGGATTATTCCTGGATTTATTCAAAAATTTCGGCGATGCATGTTCAGTGGGAATAGACGTTCTCGTCGACTACGAGGGGCATGTGGTGAATTTGTCAATTTCAAGATGATATGTCGGCTTAGTTTTCTCGGATGTGCTCATAGGGGTAGGGCTTGCGTATGTGTTCATAAAGATGAATATATGCGTGTATATATGAGCATCTGTGTTTTTACCGTGTTCTAAAAAAAACTCAGTATAGTGGATCAATGACACGCGTCTCACGGAAGAGATGGTGGATGCTTGCGTACAATCCGCCAGCTGAAGCCAAGCATTTTCCTTTTGTTTATAAGAGCACTTCTCTCAAAAACCCCTCCATGTTGTATGTGTAATGCATGTCACGTTTGGTACTCCCTCCAATTTAAATATGGCAGGCCAGATCTGAAACCTCTCCGATGGCGATCGGCAAGTGGGGCGCAGTTGCTGGGTTGGCCAAGAGGGGCTCCGTGCTCCCGTAGCGTGCTCCTTGCTTGCGAGGTTTGGTCCGTGGGCTTGTAGGGTCTGCTGTTTTCTAAGAGTGGCATGCTTTCCTACAGAGGTGTGGGACTTCAGCAAAAACTGTGCAAGGCCTTCGCCGTTGCGACAATGACGAGTCTGTGGACGTCGTTCTCCTTCTCGGAGGCGTTGCTTCCATGCCCATCATCTCTAGGTCTTCCCACAACCTTGTTTTTGCTATGGTCGCCCTCCCTCAACGTCCACCTGTGTGGTGCCTTTGTGTGTGCAGCGATGCCAAGGTTCGCTCTATAGGGCCCTCGTGAAGCCGTCGGTTTATCTCATTGTGTTCTTGGCTTCTTTTAGACAACGTGCTTCTTGGTTGGGAAGACCATCTTGAGACATGAGGGTTTGCTAGGATCGTTGCCACAAGGGTTGTTGGAGGCATCATCCACTTGCCAAGGTCCATCGAGTATAATCAGTGGTTGTCTACAATCGCCTCCAGCGTTGGAGGTTGGGTGAAAGTGCAACTATCTCTGGATGGTTTTCGTAATTCCTAACAACATATAGCTCATTGAGCTAACATTATTCCAAGATTAATATTCCAGGAAAAGCTCAATGAATGGCATAGCATAGATGAGGAAAGTGAATCCCTCAAAATTCTGAGGACAAAAAGTTTAGCTCAAGCTTGAAGCTCAAGACTCTACATTTTATATTTTAGTGATCCAAGATCACATTGAGTCTATAGGAAAATCCAATACTATCAAGTAGGGATGAGGTGTTGCTTAATGGCTTGCTTGCTCAAAATGCTTAGTGATATGCTCCAAAACCCTCAACTACCTTCCCACATCCACATATGACATAAACCAAAAGTCAAACTCGGCCCCACCGATTCTTTCTATCTGGCGCCACCGAGTTTTAAATGTCATAGCCACTGCCACAAACCCTAGGCAAATCGGTCTCACCGATAGGGATCTCGGTCTCACCGAGATGGGATTGTAATCTATCTGTTTCCCTTTCGTAACGTTTCGGTCTTACCGAGATGAGCGATCGGTCCCACTGAGATTGCAATGTAAACTCTCTATTTCCCTTTTGTAACATTTCGGTCTCACCGAGATGAGCGAATCGGTCCCACCGAGTTTACCTGACCAACTCTCTGGTTAGCTTATTACCAAAATCGGTCCCACCAAGTTTGTGTAATCGGTCATACCGAGATTACGTTATGCCCTAACCCTAACCATATCGGTCCTACCGAGTTGCATCTCAGTCCCACCGAAAATCCTAACGGTCACTAGGTTTGCTGAATCGGTCCGACCGAGTTTAACCATTCGGTCCCACCGAGTTTGGCAAATTGTGTGTAACGGTTAGATTCTGTGTGGAGGCTATATATACCCCTCCACCCACTCTTCATTCGTGGAGAGAGCCATCAGAACATACCTACACTTCCAATATACATTTTCTGAGAGAGAACCACCTACACTTGTGTTGAGGTCAAGATATTCCATTCTAATCATATGAATCTTGATCTCTAGCCTTCCCCAAGTTGCTTTCCACTCAAATCTTCTTTCCACCAAATCCAAATCCTGTGAGAGAGAGTTGAGTGTTGGGGAGACTATCATTTGAAGCACAAGAGCAAGGAGTTCATCATCAACACACCATTTGTTACTTTTTGGAGAGTGGTGTCTCCTAAATTGGCTAGGTGTCACTTGGGAGCCTCCGACAAGATTGTGGAGTTGAACCAAGGAGTTTGTAAGTGCAAGGAGATCACCTACTTCGTGAAGATCTACCGCTAGTGAGGCAAGTCCTTCGTGGGCGACGGCCGTGATGGAATAAACAAGGTTGCCTCTTCGTGGACCCTTCGTGGGTGGAGCCCTCCGTGGACTCGCGCAACCGTTACCCTCCATGGGTTGAAGTCTCCATCAACGTGGATGTACGATAGCACCACCTATCGGAACCACGACAAAAATATTTGTGTCTCCAATTGCGTTTGAATCCTCCAAACCCTTCCCTTTACATTCTTGCAAGTTGCATGCTTTACTTTCCGCTACTCATATACTCTTTTGCATGCTTGCTTGAACTGTGTGGAGATTGCTTGACTTGTGCTAAGATAGCTAAAATCTGCCAAGAACTAAAATTGGGAAAAGGCTAGATTTTTATTTGGTCAAGTAGTCTAATCACCCCCCTCTAGACATACTTTCGATCCTACATTGGGGCATCGGTAAAAGCCTAGCAGGACCTTGTTCTTGTCGACGATGATGTTCATGGATACCGTTCTTCTCCTTGGAGATGTCATTTTATTTGCCTCTCCTCCTTCAAACTACCACTTCCTTGTACAACCTGGATCGTCGCTTCATATTCTCCTTAGGAGCGGTGCCCCGAGCTCTCCTTTTGTTCCCGTTCTTAGTTTAGCGAGTGTTGCTTGGTTTCTGTTTATAAGGTCTCTGGCTTTTAGCCCCTTTGTACTTATATTGTAAAGCTGGAATCCCCAGCAGGGTTGGTGTGCATGTGAGCTACCTTTGTATGTTGTTCGGGCTTTGCTTTATGTATAAAGTAGGACGAAAGCCTCTTTCAATAAGATAAGCTCACCATGCGAAAAAGAGGTGAGAGTAATCATCAGTGTACACATAAGGAAACAACCAAACTTTGCATCTAGGGAGCACAAACAAGTAACCAAACGCAGTGCTGGCGTTTCTTCTCTCATGTAACTTGTGACTTTGCGGGCAACCAAACGACGTGCACAACATGGACTAGAGGTTGTATTATATTACCCCATACACACTCAATCGAGACACTCTGGGGAAACACAAAAAATAGCACGGCAATCAAACACACCATAAGCTTTTCTGCACTAGTATAACCTCCACACCTTAACAAAAGACTAACATCATCCTCTCGGATGCTCTTTGTTGCCATATTTTTTGCACATGCGCATGGATACACATATGCGATTCGTCCATGGATCGAGCAACAGGCTTATTCACGCTCGAGCTATTTATAAAGTTACACGACCACTTCAGGTCCAAGATATTCGGACGGGCAGTAATGGTACCGCCCGAAGACGGTCTCCAAGTTGCACTCCTCCCGGCCGACGATGCCCGCGATGAACTCCCTCGTCAGCTTTTTGCATCCGGACATGTCCTGGAGGAGGCTGCCCTTGACCACGCCCTCCTTAGTCACTCTCCCGTCCATGAGGATGCGCAGCACCTCGCACCGGCACAGCTCCGGGACCTTGGACAGCTCGTCGCAGCACCGCCTCTTCTGCCTCTCGGCGGAGAGGTAGTAGCCGCATGTTTGTCTGACCGCGTACTCGCGGCAGGCGTTAAGCGACTCGTATGTGATCTCCCGCCCTGGAACGCATCGGTCCCTGAAGCTGGCCGACCCCGCGGCAAGTGCGGCGAGCAGGACGGCGGTCGAGAGGAGGAGCTGGTGCTTGAACGGCATTCTCAACTCTCGTCCTTTTCAAGTAGATGGATGGGGTGTTGTTGGATCTTGGCTGGATGCATTGCATGTTTATATACTGAGATGAGAGAAAGGAAGAGCGATAATCTTTGCGTAGTTGTGCCTTCTGCCCTTTTTTGCTTTCGTTGGAGTCCCGCGTAGTGGAAACTTGGATGTCATGTACGATAAAAGGCTAACTAATTAATCCTTTTGATAACAGAATTTGTTCATGTACGATAAAAGACTCATGTGATCTAACACTAGCACTTCAAGTATACCTTTATTTCGTTTATGTGTGGATTGAGATCATGCTTTTTAAACCAACCAAATTTTGTTTTTATTTGCAGTCAGCAATCATGTGAGAAGATGAGAAAAAAAAATACACCTACTAGAATTTGAAGCTTTATGGCAACATAATTTGGAGGAAAATGTGGGTTGGGGTTTGAGTGGAAGGCATGACTTATCTTATCACATGTGCTCTATAGTTGTATCCATGATTTATATGGCATTATTTTCTTCTATGTTTACTTCTTATGTGATCCAACACTCACACTTTGTGTGAACTTTCATTTGGTTCGTATGTGTAGATCAATCTATATCTATATCTATACTACTATTAAAAGACCAAACATTACTTTCCCTACGTCCACACCGGAAAGTGCACACGGGATAACCCCCCACGTCCGATCAAACCCACTTAGTTACATCCAACTGTCCACGTTACATCCAGCAAACTACAATCAGATCTACGGTTCAAAAGAAATGTTCTGCCGGCAGACTCTCCCGTCCAGGATGCTACAGAGCCCAACGATGACCCTTCCAGGGAATTTAACATACCTCCACAATCAACGCAGCTACCATACCACAAAACTCCACGATCAACGCGAGCATCAGTCCACGAACCTCGCCTCGGCCATCAGCCCCGCCTCGCTCGGCCAGCCGCCCCGCCGTCCTCGCCCCTGGTCTCCGCGACGTCCTCGACCCGCTGGACATCCTCCACCCAACTTGCTGCCTCTCCTCACCCCGGCATCTTCGCCACGCCGCCCTCGCCCCAGGCGTCCGCGACGTCCTCCACCCGGTGAACGGCCTCCAGCCGGCGTGCTGCCCTACCTCCGGTGTCATCACCCCTGCCAGTGCACAGGTTAGATCAGATTAATTTGCAAGGTGGAAGATGAGGCAAAAGATAGATGCAATTGCTCTTTTAATCTGACATTCTATAATTTGTACTCTGAAATGTCATACTTAAAGTACAATCATGATCAGCATGTCAAACTGAGTTGCCGAAGGGTTGAAATTCACAAAAAAATCATTGAGAAGACAATATGGCATCCTCTCAGCGTAGTGGAGTACGTACTCCCTTTCAGGATGTGACGAACAATAGCAATTCAGGTAAATATACAGTTATCACCTACTCTTGCCTACTTATATCTTGTAAATCCAGCATATGTCATTGCCCCGCAGGTCAACCAACAGATCCAAAAGAGCGGAAGAGACAAAGGGAAAGGGAGAGGTATGCACTAAATAGGGATGCAATATTAAAAAAATGACAGGAGGCAAGGGATCGTAAGAAGGCTACCACCGCTATTGTAACTGGAACCAACACTCCATCAAAGCCATCCGGGGCCATGTCACCTGGTTACTCCATTTTACCTGTCCTTTATCATGCATGTCGTGAATGACAAGTAAAATCATGTTGATTAAGTGTTATTTCTGACAGATTTAGACACTGTGGAGAGGCCAAGTGTGCAGTCTGCTGTCACCCACCAACAACACACAATAGCCGATGAAGGTCATGTGTTGTCCTACAATTGATATTTGTGTGTCACCCACCGGCGTTTGTGTGTCAACAACTGATACTGTACATACAATTATGATGCAGGCATACCTGTTGATGTGATAATGAGTGATCTAACTCCACTTCATGGTCCAGCTTCATTAAGAACACCAGATACAGCCGTTTCTAACAAAGAAAATGTCAACAATTTTGACTCTGGCGTTGGGTCCTCCCAACTGACTGTGTTACGACCGCCACTTCAAGCCTACAGAGAAAGCAATTCATATGGTAGTCAATTGTGGCTCATATTAACTATCATACCGAGTAAAAAACAATGGTTGTTCAATTTGTCTTATACCTAATTATCACTTGATATACAGAAGCAAAACAAGCACTCAAGAGGCAGAGGGAAAATGCCAGGTATGAGCAACATAAGCAAGGGATATTGCAAAGCCTACGTGACAAGCGGAGGCGAGCCAAATCGTCAACAATAGTCCTTACAGCTGGAGAACAAAATCAATCCGATACAGGTGATGCACAGTACATAAAACACTTTTTATCCAAACTTTGATTTCCTAACTGACAGCCACTCAATGTTTCTGTAGATGATGAAGATTGTGATTGGCTACACACAAATGATACGTATCGGATACAAAACTCTCGAAGGAGGATGAGCCCAGACAACATACTTACTGCGCCGTCATGTGGACACAATCCCATCGACACTTATAATGGTGCTTTAATTGACTACTACTTGGTTCATTCCTTTCATTCATCGCTCAGTCTTGCCCATTTTACAAGTTGAATATTCTGTCAGGCAACGACCACGGCAATGATGCATATGGAATACTGGAGCCGGATGGCAACACAAACAATATTGATGGTTCGCATTAATGCATACATGGTTCTGTCTTTAATATACGATATCTTCTACAAACTAATATTTGCCTACTATAGAATGTTGTGGAGACGGAAACCTTCTACAAGCTGAATACCTTGAGCCTGATGAAGAAGCTAGGATGTTCTCCCACCAAGGTACATTATTGCTATGATGAGTTACCATATAATATAATATTGTCATTTCTGTAACAAATGGTGCCTGAATATTCAAATTTTGTTCCAGATATTGAGTTTGAATCCTACCGAGTTGAACGACGTCACACTGATGGAACACACACAAATGATCCTCATGCTATGGTGTACATGAACCTATCCAAAAATCACCACGTCCTTAGAAAAGTTAGGGACTGCCTCCACTGTGGAGCATTGCGGTTTCAGTATGAGGGACCTGCATTTTGTTGCAGAAAGGGGAAAGTAGGTTTGTTTACACCTGAGGTTCCGGATGAGTTGAAACGGCTGTTCACAAGTCAAGGTGATGACGATGCTAAATATTTTCGAGACAACGTACGGTATTTCAACTCTCACTTCTCATTCACAAGTCTTGGAGTCACCCTTGATCGTCAAGTAAGCACTGCGGCAGGAACCGGCGTATATACCTTTCGTGCATGTGGGGGGTTGTACCACGCTCTTGATGATCTGGTGCCGGCTGATAATGGTCCTAGGCATTTGCAGCTCTATATTTATGATACAGATCATAACTTGGTGCACAGGGCTAAGAGGTCTCCAGATCTGAATATAGAACTCATACGTAAAATTCTGCTAATACTAGAGCCGAACCCTTATGCACAGGCTTTCAAGAGCCTTGGGTCCGTTCCAAATCTAGATGAGTACAAGATCTCACTAAACACAGATATCAAGTTGGATCAACGTAGGTATAATGCCCCCAACGACTTCTCAGGTGGCAGCTATATGGGTTGAAGGGAGCGACCCACAAAATTGTTTTGACAGGAGTGTTGTTGTGCATGGCAAAAAAGGCGACCGGCCCCTGTACATTAGAGCATACCATGGGTGCTATGATCCATTGTCATATCCACTGTTTTTCCCACGTGGGGAGACAGGTTGGAATCGCTGGATGCCGTATGTTCAGGAACACAATGACACAAACCAATATCCGGCGCATTATTCAGATCCGCAAGAAAACCGGGCCTCTGAATTACATACAGGTATTCTATTCATTATTGTTGTGTTATCTACATACTATCTTTATAAATATAATAACATTTGTCTTCGTTCACCTATCGAGCAGATGAAAACTTGATGGGTGGAAGGGAACAAGTTGGCAACTTTGCGCCAGATGAAGACCGAGTCACTGATTTACATGCAGGTATGATGTTCATTATTAAATTGTTATGGCATTATCTACTTACTGTGTTGGTGAATAAAAACTTATGTCTTGCTCCCCCAACAAAACAGAAGATAATTTGATTAATGAAAGGGAACAAGTTGGGAATTTTGTGCCAGATGAAGACCATGCCAATGATTTACATGCAGGTGCCGGTCATTATAGTGTACCACTTATTCTTAATAAACAAATCTGATGTTGTCACTCATTATGATTCCAGCCATTATACTTGTATTTATATTCGATATTGTAGATGATAATGAGGATAACCAAGATGAGGATTTTGGTGACAATGAGGTGAATGCAACACAATCCAGGAAATTTGTTAGTGCGAGGGAGTACTACTGCTTCAAGCTACAGGTCAGGAAGAAGCTTTTTAACATCGTCTTGTTCGGTGGACGCCTTTTCCAACAGTGGGCTGTTGACATGTATATCAAGATTGAGACTATGAGGCTGGACTGGTACTCAAAGCCAGAGAATCAAAAGGTTATACGAGCTGACCTCTACCAGGTATCGTGCTTGCGTTTATACTAATACATCCTACTACATCAACATTTTGAAAAACATGCCTTTTCCATGACCAAGTATACTGTTACAGGGTCTTGTTGACACCATCGTTGTCGGCGAGTCACGTGGTGATCAGATTGGTAAGAGAATCGTGCTTCCACGCACGTTTCCTGGTGGTGATCGCGACATGCAGCGAAGGTTCCTCGATGCAATGGCAATAGTCCAATGGTGGGGTAAACCGGATTATTTTATCACGATGACTTGCAATCCCTACTGGGAGGAGATAACACTTAATCTGATGCCTGGACAACTGCCACAAGACCGTCCAGTCCTGGTGGCAAGGGTATACAGGGCTAAACAGCGAGATATGATGGACTTGCTAATTAAGGGTAAGCATTTCGGACAAGTCACAGCTTATGTACATGTCATAGAGTTTCAAAAACGAGGCCTCCCTCATGAGCATATACTTTTACTCATGAA